ATAGATAATAAATAAGAGGATGGTAGAAAGACAACGTAGGGTGATCGAAGGATGATGATGGGCTTACATAGTTGGCCCGCCACTGAGCTAAGCAATTTACTGAGCTTATCTAGCTTAACCCTCAAAGCAATCCTGTGAGTTATATTGATGCCTATAGGCACTCGACTGCTAACCAGAAGGCTGGCGGTTCAAACCCACCAGCCACTGCTCAGAAGGAAGATGGGGCAATCTACTTCTGTAGTGATACTGCCTCGGAAACCCAAGGAGGGGTCGCTGTGAGTCGGGGCCAACTCGATGGCACATAACAACAACAACAACATTCTTCAGATGAGAAAACAGGCACAGGAGTGTTAAGGCACTTTGCCCAAAGTCACAAAGCTAGAGATGGAGCAAGAATTTGAACTGAGGAAATCTTACTTATAGCTTGTACTCTTGTCTCCTGCAGGGTGCTCCTTCCTTGAAAGGATGACTGAGGATTAACTAGGACAGAGTGTAAGACAGACCTGGCTGCCCAGTAGGGGCTCAGCCAATGCTGGCTTCCTTTCTTCTTTCTCTTCCTGCTGGGCTTGCCCCTGGTGCTTAAAGGTTCTGGCATTTGGGCAAACTGCAGGCACTGTCTTCAGGCTTGGGGAATGACTCAGCAGCCACCGCAGAGTTAAGGAGGACGTGTGTTCCGTAACTTCGCATCCTGGGGCTCTCATCTTTGTCCTAGGATTTTAGGTGTTTAGGGCATTTGCTGCCCAGGAGTGACTGACTTGATCTGCACCAGGGGAAGGGAAGCACCCCCAGAACAGTCAGTGCTGCCTCTGCAGCACGGACCAGGAACACCTCGAAGTTCTTGTAACATGGTCTGCCTTTTCATCTTGTTCATTCTTACGGCCTCCGGTACCGCCCCCCACACACACACACAATAAAAGGCTGGTTGGCGTCCACGCTGTGCCAGCTCATGGCGACCACAGGTGTGTGGTAGAGCCGTGCTCGTAGGATTTGCTGTGGCTTATTTTTCAGAAGTAGGTCCCCAGGCCTTCCTTTCAAGGTGCCTCTGGGTGGATTTGAACCACTAACTTTTCGATTAGCAGCCGAGCTGATGAACCATTTGCTCCACTCGGGAATCCCTGGGCCGTACAGTGCATCTAAAATAGAGAAAGCACAAGCCACCTCGGGGTTTCTCTGTGGACGCTGATCGTGTTGAGGATGAATTGATAACTAGTGTGTATTTTCTAAATACCAGTGCCTTTTTTAATCTAATTTTAACCTCCAAATGCCCTGTGAGGTAAATACCATTTTCATTCTCATCTCACCCGTTAAGAAACTGATGCAGGAAGACTTTAAATAGCTTGCCCAGAGGGCCACAGTCAGTAATTGACAGATAGCACAGACCCAGGTTCAGCAACCCCAAGCCAGGCTCTCAGTCACTATGCTGCAGACCACTTCCATGCTCAAAACCCTTTCATGGTTTTCCCAGTGCCCATAGGGTAAAGTCCAAACACATGTCATGCCTGATAAACTTTAGCAAAAGAACTTAAGTTCTTCTTGAACAATGTGCTTGACTGCTATCCAGAAGGTTGGCGGTTCAAACCCACCAGCCGCTCCATGGAAGAAAGATGGGGGAAACTTACTTCCATGAAGATTTACCACCTTGGAAACCAGTGGGGGTTGCTATGAGTCAGAATCAACTCGATGGCAGTGAATTTTGGTTTTGGCCTTTGTACGAGCTGTTTCCTCTTCTTTCAGATCCCAACTTAGATGGCACTTTCTACAGAAAGTCTTCCCAGATAACCCTGAGTTTGGGTTGTGTTTGTATCCTTCATGTCTTTATGTCCCCTGCTCCTTAGCACTATGTTTTCTGTGCCTGTTTAATTCTCTATCTGTCCCACTTTACTTACAAAATCTGAGGGCACACTGTATCCTCATCAGTTGGTACATAGACAGGCAGTTGGTTAATGAATTAACATGATTCTATACATGAGACTGCAGTAGTTTTTATTGGCAAGAATTGTAAGTGGCACAGTGTTTAAATATTAAGGTTATTTATCAGTGTGGTCCATTAAATTATTCATTTGCTGCTCTAGATGAGGTCTTCAGTGACTGAGACATTTAGTATTATCTGAGGAAACCCTGAACACTGTGGTGATCTGACCATTTCAAAGTGAGTACCCTACAGCAAAATCATGGAAACCCTCTCCCACAGTGCCCAAAACAGATGGTCATACAAAAATCCTGTCTTTGTAGGCAGCTTGCATAAAGACTGGAGTACCCACCTACGGACTCCAGAGTTCTGCTGATCTGTTGCGTATGGAAATTACCAATACTTTTCCTCCTGAGTTTTCTTCTAGATGTTTTTAAGTTTTAATTCTTACTTTAAAGTCTGTGATCTGTTTCAAGTGTGTTTTTATATATGGTGTGAGGTTAGGATTGAAGTTTATTTTTTCCAAACGGGTATCCATTTGTTCGAACACTCTCCTTTTCCCCATTGCATTGCCTTGGTACCTCAAAAATCAGTTGACCATGTATGTGTGGGTCTGTGTCTGGATTCTGTTTTGTCCCACTGATTCATGTGTGGATCCTTACGCAAATACCATACCGTCTTGATTACAGCAGCTTTATGATAAGTCTTAAAAGTCGGTCACATAAATTTTAGATATTCTTCCTTGGAGAATATCATCAACGAAGCTAGATGTTTTGATAATTAATCACAATACAACATAAAACATACAGGTTTCATGCTTTTGAGATGCTGGCTGCTTTTCCTGCCTCAGAGTTCCTGATTTTTTATCCCAGATCAGGCTGAGAGTCAGAGTGGGTGGAAGTTTCTGTTCTCGTTCGGCCTACTCTCACGGTTTGCTGTGGTAAGAGACTGGGGAGATTCTGGAACCCTGGGCTGCTCTAGTTGTCCTCAGTTTAGGCAGTAGTTTCAACTTTATCTCTCATGCTAACTTAAGAGCTATGTGAAGAGCCGTACACAAACCTGGAAGAGAACATGCAAAGTACACCAGCAAGAGGTATCTGTGTGTGTGTGCATGCTGTCAAGTCAATTCCGACTCACAGCGATCCTGTAGGACAGAGAAAGCTGCCCCCTAGGGTTTCCAAAGCTGTAAACTTTACAGAAGCAGACTGCAACATCTTTCTCCTGGGGAGTAGCTATTGGGTTTGAACTACTGAACTTTCAGTTAGCAGCCAAGCCCTTAACTGCTATGCCACCAGGGATCTTTTGAGAGGTGGAGAATGCCCAAATAATCAACAGTTTATAAAGTTATCTCGTATTCAAAAGGTAGACATTCATCCTGTGTGAAAGGGCTTTGATTAAAGGTTTGGAATGTTCATACGCTCATGCTCTTAGAGACCTTAAAAAATCAGGAAAAACTGTATAAGTTAGATGATGTGTTATTTTATAGAAAGCATTTACACAAGTAACAACTCAAAAAAAAAAAAAAAACCTCACTGCCACCGAGTCGATTCGACTCACAGTGACGCCTCCTTGGGTACATAGTGGGTGTCACTTTCAGGGGCACTATGTTGTAGATACTTTTCGGTATGATCTTCCTTTGAAAAGGTACCATTTGTCCACTGCCTCCTTGTATCTGTGTGAGACTGCCAGAGGCTACATGGGCACAGCTGGCGTCTTGGGAGAGTCTTTGGATGATGAAGGAAGACAGGGTCTTGGAGATCATTGTGCACAGAAGGGAAATGAGATGCAGGGACTTGGACAGTCACACAAGAAGAACTAATTAAAAGAACTGATTAAAAGTCAGAGGTACAAGCCTCCATATGTGTTCTCACTTCATACTGCTCACCTGGCTCCATAGGAGTACAGAAGAGGCTTGGTAGGTGCAACAAGAGATAGGGTATTAGCTTGAACCGTACGAAATATCTGTTTTGGAGATGAAAAAAGACCAAATATCAGGGATCTCCTATGGTTCGAGCTATTACATAAATCCTCAGATACAGCCAGCTTGGTGGGAAGCTACTGTGAGCTTGTGTGGGAAATATGCAACATCCCATGGTTGCTGGAGCAAAGGTTGTTTAAGGTTGTACTGTGGTTCCCTGGGTGTGGTGCAAACAGTTAAGCGTTTGACTGTGGGCCAAAAGGTTGACTGTTGGAATCCACCCAGAGGTGCCTCAGAAGACAGGCTTGACAGTCTGCCTCCGAAAGGCCACAGCCTTGAAAACCCTGTGGAACACGTGGAGTCACCACCGTCAAAATTGACTCCGTGGCACCTAGCAACAGCAACACCCAGGGTTGCTCCAGGCATAAGCATGTTTAGGAGAAGGTGGATGGTAAGGGAACCCTCAGGAGACTTGCTTAGGGGACACTGAGGGGAAGGAGGAAGTCAGACTCTGAAGTGAGCTGAGCATGATTCGGAAGCAGAAGCCAGAGCTCCATCTCAGCTCTTCACTCCCAACCACTCAAGAGGAAGAGGGACCTTTCAACAGGTGGGGCAGATCATTGTAAGGGTGAACCGTGTTGTTAGGGCTGAGATGCAAGTGGCTTGGAAACTCGGATTTGCTGTTCCTTTGGCTGTATTTTTCCCTTGTTGGACTAAGGACAGATAGAAAGATGTTGTCAACTTCTAACCAATATCAGAGACCCATGAAGAAGATCTTTTGTTTGGCTACCTCCTGTTAGATTGTGCCAGAGTTCTTGAGTCCTTATTAGTGTCTGACTGAACATAAAATATATAATCAATACAAGAAAATAATTTTTGAAACCCACTTTTTAAAGCTTACATTTTTTTTATCTAGGCATAAATACCTTGATTGTATGCTCTTAGTCTGACTTTGCTGACAAAATCTCTTAACACGGGTTCTCTTCCTGCCTGTCACTGCTCTCTCTCTCTCTGCTGTCCTTTCTGCTCTGTACATATTTTTCTATCCCCCTACCACCCACCAACTTAGTCTGTCTCTCTCCTTGGAGTATCCAAAATGTCTGACTTAGAAGTCTAACCTTCACAGTTGAATTCACATGCGGTTTTGTTTTTTTTTCCTTTTTGTTTCTTCAGTTCCTTCAGGAGTGATCCAGAATGGAGCCCGGGTTCTGAGCCGAGGGATGTTTCCTGGAGTCCGGCCATTGCCGATCACTCCCATTGGAATGACGGCAGCCATGAGGTAAGGGATGCAGCCTGTTGGGTCAGCCCAGCCTGAGGAGTGGGGAGGGGATCCTGTATCCAGTAGAGCCACTTCAGAGGACGGAGAGGATCAGCCTCTACCTAGTGAAGCCAGTGAGCCTGGTTTGGACATTGAAAAAAATTAGAGTAACTCCCAAAGACTCTGGTAAAAGTTGTCAATTTCTCCTTAGGCCTCCAAATTATCCTAGTTTCTTGGCAGGTGAAGAGATGGAGACAAATTAAGTTTTCATTCTGAAAAAGCAGGTGGCAAGAAAGAGTAAATGGGCTGTTAATTAGTTTCTAGACCCAGCGCCATCACTTACCAGTCCTGTGGCTTTCGGCAAATTTCTGACCTCACGAATTGCAGTGAAAATCAAACGCAAAATTGTATATGGAAACTCCTTTGATAAGGTATATAAAGAACAGGTAGCATTCCCGTGATTCTGAGAATCAGATCAGTTACCAAGGCACAGGAATCTTCCTTGGATCAATGTCTTCCATCCATGCTTCTCATTCCACCACCAGCCCCAGATGAGGGCCATCACTGGCTTACAGCTGTCACGTGAACCATGGGCAGCTCCTCCCCTTCTTCCCACTGCTTCTCTCCCCGCTCTTGCCCATCTGCCAATTGCTGCCAGACTGCTTTCCTAAAACGTGCCTCTCCAGCCTCTGCAGAGGCACCTTCCATGGCTCCTGCCACATCCCCAGTCTCCCACCCAGTCCACCTTTCTCCTTGAACCAACTATTTGTTCCCCGAGTATGTCCAGTATCTGCCCATCTTCTTTGTACAGTTTCCTCTGTACATTCAAGGCAGTGTGTCCTCCCAAGCTCATTACAAATATGGTTCCTTCTGAATGTGCTGTCTGAGCCAGCATCAGACAAATTATGCTTTCCTATGACCCCTTTATAAGGAGCTCTGGTGGCATAGTGCCTAAAGCATTTGACTGCTAACCAGAAGGTTCGCGGTTCAAACCCACCAGCCACCACTCCTCGAAAGGAAGGTTGGGCAATCTACTTCTGTAGTGATACCACCTCGGAAACCCAAGGAGGGGTCACTGTGAGTCACTCCACGGCAGTGCATTGCGTTATGAACCCATAACTGCCATGATTTAGTGTGAACTTGGATGAGTTACCTTGTGTCAGAATTTCTGGGTGTCCCTCTCTGTCCTCAGTGTGAGCTTGCTAAGCACAGGGGCTAGGGTTCACTCAAGTTTGCTGATGCCTCATTGTTGCACAATGCTGGACTCGGGCTGCTGGGTTAGAAAAGACCTACCAGGCTGAGCTGAATGTCTTAATAGCAACATCCTCTTCTGTGTGCTGATGGGTCAAGTTCACACCTGAAGGCCGTTTTGCTTTCACAGTGTCTCATGTCCCACATGAAACCAGTCCAGAAAATCCATCCAACCAGGGCCAGAGGGCAACACAAAGTTGAGCTACCTACCTTGTGTGATTCCACCGTATGGTGTTTTTCCAAGCATATGGAGCTTCTCTGGTCTTCTGAACTCTACCAGCAAACCAACCTACTTTTGTCAAAATGGAAATCACTGGATTTCCACTCAGACCATGGTGTAGGAGTGGACAAATAGATAGATGGATGAATAGATGGAGTAGATAGATAACTGCCATGGGAATCGACTTTGACTCCTGATGACCTTCTGTACAACAGAATGAGGTGTTGCCCAGTCCTGTGTTATCCTCACATTTGGCGGAATGTTCTCGTCCTTCGTTGTAGCTGTTGTGCCCGTCCATCTCACCAGCAGTCTCCCTCACCTCCCCTGGCCCTCTACTTCACCACACAGGGTGTCCTTCTCTGTAAATTCATCCTTCTTGATGGCATGTCCAAAGCAAGGCAAGTCAAATAGTGATCTGTTGCGATTCATAAGATTTTCATTGGCTCATTTTTGGAAACAGATCAGCAGGTCTTTCTTCTTCGTCGGAGTCTAGAAGCTCTGCTGAAACCTCTCCACCATATTGGAAATACTGATGGCATAGCTTCCAGCCTTATAGCAGCATGCAAGCCACCACCAAATGACAAACTGACAGATGACTGGTGAATTCGGAAGGAAGTTGGTAGAAGTTAAGAGTACTGATTAAGTTGTAAAACCATTCATCATTTCTACTAGGCTGACACAGTGATACTTTCTAAAAAGTTGTGGGAAGGATCCTTCCCTTGTCATTCTTACAGTATTTTTCTTGGCTACCATTAGATCCATGATTCTTCTGGAGGTCATGAACGGTAAACCCATTTTATGAAGCTATAGCATCAGTGCATTTGCTTGACATTGTGAAAGGGACACACTGTGCTTTCCATTGTTTTCTTAAAGTCTTTCCCATGTCACCTCCTAGTTTACCTTTTCTGCTTGTGAAGAACTTGAGGCTGTTTTGGCGTGGAGTAGCAATCTGGTTTCCATTAGTAGACTCTAAGTTTGCACTTCTGTTTTGTCACAGTGGCCATTCTTTTAGTGCTTCCAAGCGCGGGTTTCAATCTGATTCCGCCCATCCCTTCGGGAAGGATACAGAGGGTCCAGGCAGAAAGGGAGGGAAAACCTAAAGCCAGGCTGGCATTTAGCAAGTGGTGCCCGATGAGTTTAACTGTTACCCTCATGGCATAGCTTATCACCACTTTTACTGATCAGTACCCTTCTAGAGCATTAGTTGAGGAGCCTTAGTGCTGCGGTGGTTAAAGTGCTCAGTTGCTTACCAAAAGCTGTGTACCAGCTGCTCTATGGGAGAAAAATGTGGGCAATCTGCTTCCATAAAGATTACAGCTTTGGAAACCCAGTTCTTCTCTGTCCCGCGGGGTCACTATGAATTGGAAGTATGAACTTCCAGACTCGACAGCAGTGAGTTTTGAGGTATTATTTACAATATTGATTTTTCTTATTTCTGTTCTGATTAGAAGATTACAGAGCCATGCAGCAAAACAAAGTCTTGTCTTGTTCTCATCTCATCCAGTGAGTACCTTAGTTTGGCCACCTCTAAAGTCAAAGACTACATAACAATTTTAGGCTAGACTTGTGTATCATTCAGATCCAGTCAGAGGACAGAAACTACACCCAGGTATTAGAGAATTCAATAAAGATTTGTGAACTCAGTAGGAAGTTATTAACCAGAAAACTGAAAGGGTAAAAAAACAGAACTCAAGATATCATGGAGATAGCAGTTAGAGGAAGCTACTATCACCTCAAGGGTTGAGGAAACAAAGGGAAGAGGTTGGAATTATTCCCCAGGGACTGGGACCTCTGGGGCTAGGGCTGGTCCTAGAGTATTTGAGCTCAGAGGAGGGCCCTGTGGGGCTGGCATCCAGACCTCTGAGGAGGAGGCTGCAGCTGGTGTTGGCACCTCTGAGAATGTAATGAAGTTGCTTCTGCAACTGTTAGTAAAACTGCTGACTGGATTCAGCAGTTGCTACAGGAAGTCACCTCTGCTTCTGGGGCGACCTAGGAACAGGAAACACACAGGAAGGAGTGTGTCCCTTCTTCCTCCACCACCTTCACAGTCTCTGTGACTCCCTCTGTTGGCGAACCTAACATAGAGCCAAGTGGTGAAGCAGAAATGTGACTTGGGGCTGAGAGACAGTCCATTAATAATGATATAATAATGATGATGATATAGCTATATATAATAATGATAGAACAATAAAAGCATACTCCACTCAGGATGACCTTCCTGACTGTTGTAGGCATTTTGAGCAGGAATGTTTTGGTAAAACGTACAGTTGCAGTTTGCACGAACTAGACAAGTTCCCGTTGCATACATAGAGATGAAGTGTGTAGAAAGCCATTGTGCATTGTCAGTATATTGTGGAAATACCAACTGTGTATCTGCCACGCACACACCATTTAAAGGGAAATTAGGAGGAAGTGTAGTAAGTCCTCTAAGACTGAGGATCCTTGCTTCTAATCTCTTGGCCTCTTTATATCCTAAATGCCCAACAAATAGTAGGTTCCAGATGCTTTCAGAACTTAATTGCAAAACCATAGCTACCTAGGTGTTTGCAGAATTCTTGTCTGGGTAAAACCCATCAAAAGATGTTTGGGGAAAAGAAATCTTGCTTTGCTCTTTCACATTCATTGTAATTATTGTTTTTAATTTGACCGTGTGTCCACTGAACCTAAATTCAGCTGAAGTTGAAAGGAAAGCAGTCCAACAGAGAGTAGAACAGCCCTGAATGGCATCTGCTGGACCATGTGGCAGTGACCAAGGGCTCCTGTGAGTGCTCAAAATGTTTATGGGGGGGGGGGTTGCTGTCCCATTCAGTTCAGTCTGGGGCTGAGGGAAGGCAGGGAGAGTCGTTAGCCCCCCACTAAAGACCAATTTCCTCCTCTGCTTTGTGTGACAGGTTTTCTGTGTCAAGTGACTTCTCCTTAAGTGAAAATATTTGTCTTTCAGGGATTTTTTTTTTTTTTTCCCCTCCACTGAGTGGCAAAGGTCATGTTTGTTTGTCTTTACTCTGAAACTGTTATTGACATAGATGAAGTGTTACTTTTATTAGCTGATCATTACCCAGCGGTGTGTTTGCTGGGTTCCTTTGCATATAATTATGATGTGAAATCTCCTTGTAAGAGTGTCTGTCAATAGAGTAATTGACTCTACGGTGTTGACTTTTTACTCAATAACCTCAGAGGTTGGCCCATCCTTAGCCAGTGGAAGCCGTGTTATTTTTGAATTTGCCTGGGCTACATTCTTCAAGACAAATTACCCTCCACCTAACAGCTCACACATCTTAAAAGTTTTATGCCTGTGTCCTCTGCTGCTTTCCCAGGGAAATGAGTTGCAAATATTACATTGGATGGAGCAAACAGTTGTAGCCCTGGAAGAACTGTCACCGGCCCTCTTGGGAAGGGGGAATCTCAAGTTTCTAATATTTGGGGTATTACAGGCTGCCTCCCAGGTAGAGACCATGGGAACACATATGGATCTGGGCCCCTTTGCTTTCAAGTCTCTGAGACTTTTTTCTTTTAAACCATCACCTCATTTTATTTCCAAAATTTGCTCCTT